CTTCAAAAAAAAAAAATTGGAGAGGGAACGGGATGCTAGAGAGATAGCTCAATGATTATGAGCACTATTTGTGGGGCTGGAGAGATGCCTCAGCAGTTAAGAGCACTGGTTCTTGCAGAGGACCGGGGTTTGATTCCCGGCACCCACATGACAGCTAACATCTTTCCATAACTCCAGTTCCAAGGGAATCTGACCTCTGCAGGCATTGCATGATGGGTGTGTACTTACATGAAGATAATACACTCACACACAAAAAAAAATTTTTTTAATTTGGAGGGAGAAAATATTTCAAAATTTTGTTGTACAGGGTTACCTAAGGCCATTTTCACACAAGTATATAATATATTTTGTGCATATTTCCCCATGTCCTGCTATCCTTCCCAGTCTCCTCTCCTGTGGTAGTTTGAATGAGAAATATCCCCTACAGGCTTGAAGTATTTGAACGCTTTGTTCCCAGTGAATGACGTTGTTTTGGGAAGTTTAGGAAGTGCGGTCCTGCTGGGGGTGGGCTTTGAGCGTTCAAGCCTTGTCTCACTTCTAGTTTTGTATGCTGGTTCTTGTGTGGCATGAAGATAGAAGCCCTCAGCTGTCTGCTCCAGCCACCTCTGCTGCCATGCTTCCCTGCCTCTGGAATGGTAAGCCAAATAAACGCTTCTTCTGTAAGTAGTCTTGGTCATGTTCGTCAAAAACAGAAAAGTAATATGTAAGTTGGTACTGAGAGTGGAGGTGAACCCACATGGGCAGAGCTCTTTCGATTTTTCAGCATGTTTGTAATTGATACAGCAAGGCTTTTAAGTTAGTTTTGTATCCTGCCACTTTTCTAAGTTTTATCAGATCTAAGTTTTCTGATAGGATTTCATACAGTTTGCAAATAAGGATACTATGACCTCTTTTCCTATTTGTATCCTTTATTTTCTTCTCTTACTGCTCTAGCTGATTTCAAATGCTTTTGAATAAAAGTGGAGAAAGACACCAGATTCCCAGTTTTAGTTTAGTTCTGTCTTAGTGGAAATGCTTCGTCTTGCATCTTGCTGTCGGCTGTAGGCTTGTCCTAGATAACCTCTCTTGAGACAAGCTCCTCTCTTACCAGATTCTTCAGGGCTTTCAAAATGAAGATGCTGGGTTTTATCAAATGCCTTTTACCTCCTGAGACCATATTATGAGACCATTTATATAACAATCACACTACTTCCTTGCATACATTTGACCATCCCTGCAATCTCTGCTACGAAGCCAACTTGGTAATGGTGGTTTTGGTGGGTGTTTTTTCTTTTATTCCTTTGTATCCAAATATTTTATTGAGAATCTTTTACCAGGAAAACTGGTTGTATCTTATGTGGTTTTGGTTTCAAGGTGATACTGGCTTCGTAGGCACGTCCCTTGCCTTTTTGCTTTATGGGACAGGAGAAAAGTATTCTAGCTGGCTCTTGAAATGTCTATTAGAGGTCGAGCTAGTGTGGTGTGGTCCATACCTTTAATCCCAGGACTGCAGAAGCAGAAGCGGGCAGATTTCTGTGAGATCTGTCAGGGCTACATAGTGAGACCCTATCTCAACGCCCTCACTAGCGGACAGAACTAGACCACTACCTGGATTTTTGATTGAGAGTATTGATTGCTTCAGTCTCACTGTTCTGGTGTATTTCATCTTTAATTTTGGTAGACCTAGAAATTTTTCTTCCAATTTGGCATATGTATACTATTTTTGGAATTTCACTGCTCCCTCATCTCGTTTTTCTTCTGTAAATTTCTTTTGGTGAATTTGGCTAAAGATTTGTCAGTCTGATCTTAACTATTTCAAAGACCAAGCTGTTTGACTCTTTTCCTGCTTCCATTTCATTAATTTATGCCGATTATCTTCCTGATTTGGGGTTTGGTACAATTGATTATGTATCTGAAATCTCATAGTACCCATGAACTGCCCCAGTTCAATTTCATTGTTTACCACAGGTTTTGGTTTAATGTTTTCATTTCCATTTGATACTAGTAATATTTACAAATTTTCATTTCTTCAATGAATCATCATTCAAGTGTGCTGTTCAATCTGTGTAAGTTCTGCAGTTTTTGTTGATTTCTAATTTTATTCCATTGTGGTTAGAAAACAAATTCCACTTTTCCTGTATTTGTTAAATCTTATTTTATGTCCTAGTATATGACAGGATTGTTGAGATAGTTCAGCTGGTGAAGTATTTGCTTTGCAAACAGGAGGACCTGGATTTGTACCCCACAACCCATATAAAAAAAGGAGGGCTTGGTAGTAAGCATTTGCAATCTCAAACAGGGAGCCTGTGCCTCACTGGTTGTTGTATAAGACAGTCCTCTAACAAATAGATGCCAACTTCCCACGCGAGATTGTGCCTGCTTGTCTAAGACAGTCACTGGGAGTCACAGGATCCTCAACGTATAGTCCAGCCACATCTCCCAACCAACCAGTAGGCCCTAGGTTCAGGTGGCATGGGGGAGGGCTAAAGGAATATAGGGTATGGAAGCCACCCTTCGTGCTTGGGGGAAGACTTTCCAATACAGCCTTAGGGAAGGAGTACCCACATTCATGAGAAGCTCCAGGCAAGAGACAAAATCTCAGTAAGTAAATGGAGTTTGGAGGAGTGGCTTAGAGGTTAAGAGCACTTCCATTAGACTCAGGTTCAATTCCTAGCACCCATATAGTGGCTCTGTCGCCCTCTTCTGACCTTCAAGGGCCATACACACATACCAGTATACATACTGCAATCAAAAATTTGTACAAATAAAAATAAATTTAAAAATAAAGAGGGCAGCCAGGTGTGGTGGCACACAACTTTAATCCCAGCACTTGGGAGGCAGAGGCAGGCGGGTCTTTGTGGGGTCAAGGACAGCCTAGTCTACATAGTGAGGTTCAGGGCAGCCGGGGGTACAAGGAGACCCCGTCTCAAAAAAAAAAAAAAAAAAAAAAAAAGGCCTGGAGAGGTGGCTCAGCATTTAAGAGCACTGGGTGCTACACCAGACAACACCGATTCAGTTCCCAGCAACCACATGCAGCCAACAACCACCTGTAACCCCAGTTCCAGGGGAATCTGATGCTCTCTTCTGACCTCCACAGGCATTGCACTACTTGAGTGCACTTACATACATGCAAGCAATACACTCATACAATTTAAAAATAAAATATTAAGCCAGGCGTGGTGGCACATGCCTGTAGTCCCAGCACTTGGGAGGCAGAGACAGGAGGATCTCTGCGAGTTCAAGGCCAGCCTGGTCTACATAGTGAGTTCCAGGACAGCTGGGGCTTATAGGGAGACCCTGCTTCAAAAAGACCAAAAAAAATAAATTAAAAAAAATAAGTTGGACCACGACTGAGCAATGACACCTAAGGTTCATCGCTGGTCTCTACATGCATGCACACCTGCACACAACACAAAAGGTTAACTGCCATGGCAACTTGAGAAGCATATTTAATCTCATAATATATCTCTGGTTCTCTATGAATTGTAGTTTTACTACACACCAAGAAAACTATTTTAAATTGGAAGAACTGTTGCAAGTGCAAAAGATTTTTTTCTTTTTTGGTATGAGACAGGGTCTCCCTATAGCCCCAGCTGGCCTAGAACGCACTAAGTAGACCCGGCTGGCTTTGAACTCACAGAGCTCCACCTGCCTCATATTTTTTTATGTGTATGCATGTAATTGCCTACATGTAGGTAAAAGTGCACCCATGTCATGCAATACCTGTGGAGGACAGAAGAGGCTGTCAAATCCTCTGGAACAAGTTAGAGGTGTTAGCTGCTATGTGGGTGCTGGGATTCGAATCTGGGTCTTCTGCAAGAACAGCCAGTGTTCTTAACCACTGACCTATCTCTCCAGCCCCTGTGTCTGTGTAACCCTGGATGGCCTGGAACTCATTATGTAGACCAGGCTGGCCTCAAACTCAAGAGATCTGACAGCCTCTTGGGGATTAAAGGCCTGCAGGACCATCACATCTAGAGTGTCTTTTTGTCTCTCAAAACTGTCTTTAAAAACAAAACACAACTTCAATCCCCAACACAGCAAAAACAAAGCATGTTTTGTGATTCAGGGTATCTAAAAATGTACAAATCTACCGAAATATACATGTAAAAACCTTCACACATTAACATCGTGAGGGTTGTATTGCAAGGACTGCTATAACTAGAAAATTGGATACAACTTGCCTAAACGTTTTGTTTTTTTGTCTTTTTGAAGCAGGGTCTCCCTGCAGCCCCAGCTGTCCTGGAACTCACTATGTAGACCAGGGTGGCCTTGAACTCAAGAGATCCACCTGTCTCTGCCTCCCAAGCCCTGGGACTACAGGCGTGCGCCACCACGCCCAGCTAAGCGTTGCTTTTAAAAGCATCTAGGCATGCATCCCTGTTAAAGTAAGACAAAAGTATGAGGTAATCTGTAAGATAAAGTAATCATCTGCAGGCAATGATGCAACTTAGGTAGCCTCTGCAGAAACTATTTCCATATCCATGTCCAGTTACGTGTAATACGGCCAGGTGTGGCCACACCTTTAATCCCAGCACTTTGAGGCAGGCAGATATCTGTGAGTTCAAGGCCAGCCTGGTCTACATAGTGAGTTCCAGGCCAGCTGGGGCTACAGGAAGACCCTGTCTCAAAAAAAAAAAAAAAAAAAAAATTACTATCTGTTCTTGCCACTGACTTTTTTCAATGCGGGAGTAGAATTTTACCTTAGATCAAGGAGTATTATTCTGACACATTAAGCCTTATCTGGTCATACAACTCAAAATTACACGGTAGAAAATGATCCATAGTTAACACCTGTGTTAAATACGACTGTTGTACTTTAATGATCAACTTTGATGATTAACAAATATTGTGTTGCTAACTGGTCCAAGTAATCGTAGGCTTAAATTACAACCAGGTAACAAGCAGCATTTTGTTTTGTTTTTTTCCAAAATATACATCTTTGGGAAACAGGCAAATCATTTATGGAAGAACAACGAAGGAATCTTTTCACATTTAGACAAACAATACTGTCAAACGTGTTTGGGCTGGAGATTTTATTTTAGAAGTATAAAGGATGGAGGCGTGATATATTTGGCATTTTTAATTTAGGTTTGTTTTATTTAAGTTTAATGTTAATTCCATGCTGTGTTTCAGTAAGAACAATACAGATTCTGTATCTGTGGCTCCAGTCAGATATCCAGTAGTACAAATTAGCTTCAAGTTACACATACTGAACGAAAGAGGTTGAGCGAGCGAAGGATAGGGAAGGGGGAGGGAAGTAGGAGAGGGAAGGAGAAGAAACAAAGAGTTGAACACGCATGCAGGCTCTTCCATACCACCTTCAACGCTAACCTGCTTCAGAGGGAGAGTAAGAGTCGGCAAGAATGAGCAGCCACGGATTGTTGAACTGTTACCAGCACCACGCTTTTCAGCAACACTTCGGCAGAGTTCCAAACACTTTTTACAGCAAAACCATTATGACAAACTCCCCCAGAACAACCTTTAACCACCTCAAGTTAACACCCAATTGAGTTAAGGTGAAACATTGGTAAAAACCCAACTTAAACAATTTTTTTAAAGGGAAAATAATAGCATATGTGCCTCTATCATGTGATTAATCTCAGCTGCATCACCTAGAAGTCTACAGGCTCTCTCTCAAAAGTGCCATTTCCATTTCTAATGATGATCTTGCCATACATGGCTAGAGACGATACAGTAATGCTGAAAAAGCCTTTATGCAGTCCTGTTAGTGTCTTAAAGAACTTGAAAGCTGGAACCAGTAACATCCAGAGAAAGTCACTCTTGCCTTTAAGAACTTTTGAAAACTGTTTTTCAAAAACAGGGGAGGGTGGGGAACAAAAGAAAAAAAAAAAAAAAAAAAAAAAAAAAAACAACAGGGCAGGAACCTAAATTCTGAGACCAAATGTAAAAGTCAGATTTGGTGGTTCTCAGTGACAAAGGGGAACTTCCAAGGGGTGGGGTGGGGAGGATGGGGTGGTCAGAGATGGTTTCTCTTGTTGGCTTTTTTATGTCTCACTGATTTTCATCTTCCACATCCTGCAGCGCTTCTTTATTCTGCTCTTCACCTGTAAGGAAGAACAACAAAATTATTTGATATTATAGGAGTCACAAAAATACCATTCCAAGCATCAAGATCCCTATAATCATTACTAACACAGGCAGGCAGAGGACTTCTACTGTCCTTGACACCTGAGATGCTTAAACCAAGAGTTGCAACCAATCATCCTGAAATGGTCAAGGAAAAAAAGTAACAAAAAAAGTACATAAAACCAAATGTTTTTATGTTAAACAAGCTCTTAAAAAGTACACAGCCAAGTAAGAATACTTTTGAAATTACCTTCAAGCTTTCATGTGTTTCTTGGGTCAAATACTCTTTCTCAATAACCTCACCTCTTCCAAGAATCAACAGTATTTTGCTTTTGGGGGATGGGGGGTGTAATTTACCCACAAGCTCAACATCAGCAATGCTTCCATGAAATAAAAAGCTCCGAAGGAGTTCTCTAGTGTTTGGAGGAAGATGTGTGCTCTTGTACACAAACATTCAACACTGTCTTGTGGCCAGATAGACCACACTCACCAGATTCTTTCCTTCATAGGGAAACAGCATGCTCAGCAAAGCAGACCACTGAGGTTATTCAAGAAGGGCATTTGGACCAGTTTTTTCATGCTATTTCTCTTCAAACATGACAATTAACCTAGGACTTTCAACTGTACTATGACATGCAGTGGAGAGCTGAGTCTATTCACCCAAGGGTCATCTACCACTACTAATAAGCATCAATCACATCAGCCGTAATAAGAAAACATGCGAAGTTTTTGCTTTAAAAAAACAAACGATCTAACAGGTAAAATTGTAGTCTTCTGTACTTTATCTAATTCTGAGAATTACTAGTTTGAATAAAATATTCAGTTAAGGGATATAGCATGCACATAGCATGCATAAGACCCTACATTCAATCCCTAGCAACACATAAATATATACATAAACACAAACTCAAATAAAACAGCTAAGATGAAAACCCACCTAGTCACAATGCCTAAACACCCAGCACTTAACACTGAGGTGAGGCCAGCTTTGAAAATCTGAAACATCTCTGAGGTTAAATGCTGCCACATCAGTAAGAATTAAGTAAAGATAATTCTAAAATCTCATAATAAAAATATTTGACATGTGACTTAAAAGTTACTTAAAGCACATGAAAGGTTTTAACCTGGAAGATAGAAAAGATATGCAAAGACAAAAATATAACTGTCTACCAAGGAAAGAACGGGGGGGGGGGGGGGGGGCAGCAACTGTCCCCAAAGAACACTGTATCCAAACTCAAGAACTTTTGTATTTACTTTCATTTATGACAGGAATACACTGGCTAACATACAACATGAGAACACATAAGCAACCGTAAAGCATGTCAAAGTTACTTTAAACTTTGGCAAGTAACTTTGTCATACAAGTTATATAAATCACTCATCATAAAAGTCACACCCAACTCGAAATAGGGCAGGGTAGCAGGCCATGTCTTAAGAGATTCAGCACCCTGGAATGTAGAACAGGCAATTTTGTAAGCGACAGGATGGTGATATGCAAGCATGATTAATGAAGAACCAAAACTAAAAAGCAGAAAGCACTGTGCCATGGCAATGACTTACAAAGTAGAGTTTTAAGGAAAGGAAGAGTTGGATTTTCCTTTAGGAATCTATATACGAGAAGAAAGGGAGGGAGAACAATCAAATGAAAGCACATTACAAGAAAAATAAACCAGGAGCAGGACAAGGAAAACATCAATGATATAGGGAAGTCAGAGTCAGTCTGTTTATTCTGCATAAACATCAAGCAAATCTGCCCAATCCTTCCTTATTCCTAAGAAACTAAGAATATTCCTTTTGGAGATGTACAGACTATGGGGAAGGGGTGTGTCCACAGATCTGCATTGCTTTGCCCACTGTTTCTACACTTCAAGAGGAAGAACAAGCAGAGAGCACAAATTCCCTCTCTATGAAGCCATGTATAAAAAGGCCTTTTATAGTTAGAGAAAAGAACTGAAATCACTCCATAAGAAAACAACTGTGAACCCTTTCAAAAATTACATTCCAGGGCCAGTGAGATGGCTCAACTTGCCACCAAGCCCAACAACTGGAGTTGGAGCCCCAGGACCCACAAGGTAGAAGGAAAGAACTAACTTCTGTTATCATCCTCTGATTGCCAGACTTGCAGTGTGGTGAGTAAGCATACCTTTAGTCCCAGCACTTGGGAGGCAGAGGCAGGTGGATCTCTGTGAGTTCAAGGCCAGCCTGGTCTACATAGTGAGTTCCAGGACAGCTGGGGCTACTGGGAGACCCTGTCTCAAAAAGACCAAAAAAAACCTAATAAATTTTTTAAAATAAGAATTATGTGGCTGGGCATAGTGGCGCACACCTTTAATCCCAGCACTCAGGAAACAGAGGCAGGCTGATTTCTGTTGAGTTTGAGGCCAGCCTGGTCTACATAGCAAGTTCTAGGCCAGTTTGAGACCCTGTTTCAAAAAGACCAAAAAAAAACCAAAAATAACATGTTCTGTAATAAAAATGCATAAAAGTAGTTATGTAAAACGTATGGGATCTTCCTTTGGCAATTTTTTGTATTTATTATTATTTTATGTGTATGAGTGTTTTTGCCTGCATGTATGTTAAGTGCACCACATGTGTACAATGCCCACAGAGGCCAGAAGAAGGTGTTGGATCCCCTGGAACTGGAGTTATAGTCAGTTCTTAGCCACCATGTGGGTGCTGCAACTCAAACCCAGGTCCTTTAGAAGAACAGCAAGTATTCTTAACAGCTGAGTCATCTCTCAAGTCCCTCTTTAGAAAGTCTAAATCCACATATTTAATGACACTTTAAAATTTATTTTATGTGTATGAATGTCTTCTCTGCATCACCTGCATGCAGTGCCCACACTGGCCAGAAGAGGGTATTGGATTCCTGGAACCAGAGTTTCAGAGTATGGTGTTAAACTGTCACATGGGTGCTGGGAACAAAACCCAGGTCCTCTTAACCACTGAGCCATCTCTTTATCGCCAAATTACATTCGTCAGAGTCAGTAATAAAATACTACAAATTCCACACAGTAGTTCCACATGGGTACCCGTCCTCACTTCATACACACAAACAGTAGTAATAAAATTGAGGGAAAACTCAGTCTTTAAAGTGCTTGTGACACAGAAATGAGGCACTGAGTTTAATCCCCAAATCTACATAAAAAAGCCAAGTGTGGAGAGGCATACTTCTAATCTCAGGAGATGTATGGATCTCTAGATATTGCTAGCCAGTGAGAGAGACCCATTCTCAAGAAACAAAAACAAAAAACCCAAGGTGGAAGGTACCTAAAGAATAGCACAGCCTAGGGCTGTCCTCTGTCCTCCATATATACATTCACCACTTCAGAATATATACATGAATATTCTCTCTCCTCCCTCCCTCTTCCTCTCTTCCTCCCCCTTCTCGTAATTTCTTCTGACCTCCTCAGTCATTGCACACAGGGGTACATTTACATACATTCAGGCAAAACACTCATACACTTAAAATAAAAATAATTTTAAGCTGGGCATGGTGGTGCATACCTTTAATCCCAGCACTAGGGAGGCAGAGCAGGCAGATCTCTGTGAATTCAAAACCAGCCTGGTCTACATAGTGAGTTCCAGGACAGTTGGGGGCTACAGGGAGAACTTGTCTCAAAAAGACAAAAAAATAAATAAAGTAATTAATTAATTAATTTAAAAAAATTATAGGAGAGCCAGGTGTGATGGTACACACCTTTAAACCTAGCAGAGGCGGGTGTATATCTGCGAGATTGAGGCCAGCCTGGTCTACATGGCAAGTTCCAGGACAGTTCGGGCTACAGGAAAACCCTGTCTAAAATAAAAATTAAAAAGTATTTATAGGGGCTGGAGAGATGGCTCAGCAGTTAAGAGCACTGACTGCTCTTGCAGAGGACCCGGGTTCAATTCCCAGCACCCACATGGCAGCTATGAACCATCCTTAACTCCAGTTCCAGGGGAATCCTAAATCCTCTTCTGACCTCCACAGGATTGCACGACATAGGTGCACTCACATATATGCAGGCAATACACTCATACACATAAAATAAAAATAATCAAATTTTTTTTTAAAGAAGTATTTATAAAGGCTGGCAAGATGACTCAGCAGGTAAAGGAACTTTGTCCTGAAAGCTTGATAACCTAAGCCCAATCCCTGGACCCCACATAAAAGTGGAGAACTAACTCATCTGACTTCCATATGAACACCTGGTACATGTACCCCTCCCACACTAGTAAAATTTAAATTAAGCTTAAAAGATTACTTTCATATAAAAATAGAATGGCACCCAGGCATGGTGGCCCATGATTTTAATCCCAGTACTCGGAAAGCAGAGGCAGGCAGAGCGCTGTGAGTTCAAGGCCAGCCTGGTCTACACAGCAAGCTCCAGGCCAGTTGAGGCTACAGGGAGATCCCCATTCTCAAAATGACAAAAAAAAAAAAAATTTCAATCAACTTTGTCTCCAATCTCCTCCTATTTCCTGCTATAGCCACCAAGTGTAAAACTAACACTCACAATACTTTGTCAATACCAGATAAAATCATCTTTTGAGTCAGGCGTGGTGGTGCATGCCTGCACTTGGGAGGCAGAGGCAGGTGGATCTCTATGAGTTCAAGGCCAGCCTGGTCTACATAGTGAGTTCCAGGACAGCTGGGGCTTACAGAGGGACCCTGCTTCAAAAAGACCAAAAATAAGATCTTGGGGGGGCTGCTGGAGAGATGGCTCAGCAGTTAAGGACACTGGTTGTTCTTGCAGAAAACCAGGGTTCGAATCCCAGCACCCACATGGCAGCCTAACAATTGTCCGTAACTATAATCCCAGGGGATCCGACAGCCTCTTCTGATCTTTGCGGGCATTGCATGACCCAGGTGCACTTACCTACATGCAGGCAATACACATATACACATTATTTATTAAATAAATTTTTTTAAAAAATGATCTTTGGGTAATGGAAGTGTAGCTGTTGCTTAAATTAAAAAACATGTTGCTGGCCGGGCGTGGTAGCACACGCCTTTAATCCCAGCACTTGGAGGCAGAGGCAGGTGGATCTTTGTGGGTTCAAGGCCAGCCTGGTCTACATAGTGAGTTCCAGGACAGCTGGGGCTACAAGGAGACCCTGTCTCAAAAAGTCAAAAAAAAAAAACATGTTGCTTAAATTACCATGCTAAAGCCTCAGGTTTTATCCCAGAACAGTACACACAAAAATCATTAAAATCAACAACTGTGTCAAGCTTAATAAGTTAATATTTATATACACCCCACAACCCCAATTAACTTTTGCAAAATAACAACTTTCTACAAACCTAAGACCAACCAGACAATAAATAACCAGACCTCTGAGGTAGAGATCTAAGGACAGAGATTCTATAGAATCCAAGAGGAAAATAATTCCTTTTTAGACAAAAGATTTCTACAAAGGAGCCAGGGTCCAACCAAAATAAAGTGCTTACCTAGCACAACCCACAAGGCCCTGGGATTTGACCCACAGAGAGAAACAAGAAAAGATTTCCACATAGAGAAGATATTTCATCAATACTACTAATACCATATTGTTTCAAAAGCTAACTCTGTCCTTTCTCCCCATTAAATCTGACTTAGTTATAAGGCAGTGATGGTTTCCCATCTTTCTCCCCTACCCCAACTCAAATTCCAGGCAATTGTTAGCTGCCATATGGGTGCTGGGAATCAAACCCAGGTCTTCGGAAGAACAGCCAGTGCTCTTAACAACTGAGTCAAGGTAAACTAACTTTAACAAAGCATTATTAAAGGCAAAACCTTCTTTTTTTTTCTTTTTCTTTTTTTTTTTTTTCTTTTTGGTCTTTGAGATAGAGTCTCCCTGTAGCTCCAGCAGGCCAGGAAGTTACAATGTAGACCAGACTGGTCTCGACCTCCGAAGTGCTAGGGCCTGGCACTAAAGGTAAAACCTTTAAAAATTATTATTAGCCTAGGATTTCCCTTTTCCATACATGTATGGAACTGACCAAGAACAAATTATAGTCTGATGTTAAGAAATATCAGGAAATTTCTTAAGAGTGAAGAGATTCAGCAACTGAAAGCAGTGTTTTCCAGAGCTTGCTTACCATCACCCTGCATGTCTGAAGTCCATAGTGTCAGATTATCACGTAACAACTGCATGATAAGTGTAGAGTCCTTATAGCTTTCTTCACTCAGCGTATCCAGTTCTGCAATTGCATCATCAAAAGCTGCTTTTGCCAACCTAAGAAAACATATTATAAATATTAAATTTTTTTAAAAAACACAAAAATAGGTTATCATAGCTCAGTAGAATATATAAACATATGTAATTGCTAAAAGGTAATTTCAAACAAAAATATTTAGGATACTACATTTTAGCCGGGTTACCTTTCACTTTTTCCGTTTTTTGAGACAGGGTCTCGTTATGTAACCCTGGCTGGCCTTGAACTCAAGAGACTCATCTGCCAGTGTTGTGATTAAAGGCATGTGCCACCATGCCCAATGCTTTTCATTTTTTAATATTTAAAAAATACTTTAATGTTTCATGTGTATACAAGCCATGATGCACCTATGGAGGTCAGAGAATAACCCAGCAGAACATGATAACTCTGTCCATTATGTGGGTCAGAAAGATAACTCAGGTCATCAGGCTTGGTGGCAAGCAGCCCTTACGTGGCCCCCTCCACCATCTTGGCCATTTTGAAAGCCCAAGTTGCATTTTAAATGTCTTTCTAAGTAAACCAAGGCTAGCCAAGTCTGGTAGCACACCAACTAAGGAGACAAGAGGCAAGATCTAGTTCTAGGCCAGGCAGGGCTACACAGTGAGACCCTGTCTCAAAGTAATTTAAAAAACCCACTCCTATTGCCTCAATTTCTCAAGTGATATGATTATAGGCCTGTGGCACCACACCCAGCTGAGATACTAATTTTTTCAAAGATTACTATTTTGAGTGTGTGTGTGTTTGTATGCATGTAAGTTCAGATGTCTGTAGAGGCCAACACCACCATATTCTCTGGAGGTAGAGTTACAGGCAGTTCTCAGTCACACAAAATGGGTGCTGAGAAGTGAATCACCACTGGAAGAGCTGCAAAACTCTTAACCATTGAGTCATCTCTCTAGCCCAAAGGCACTAATTTTTAATATGATTAATGCAAGCCTATTAGTAACTGACAAGACTAAAAAGGCAATCTATTCACTATCAAATTATACTCTTAACCTCCACCAAAATATATACACGATAATGGAATTTTCTTGTTCAAAGCTTTACTAAGAAGAAAACCTTGAGCTGGGGGTGGTGGTGCACCTTTAATTCCAGCACTCAAAGAGGCAGAAACAGGCAGATCTCTGTGAGTCTCAGGCCAGTGTGATCTACATAGTGAGTTCTAGGCCAAGACTACTATACAGTGAGATCCTGTTGGAAGAAAGAAAGCTGTGCTGGATAGCTTTAGTGTCAATTTGACAGACCTGGGTTGAGGGATCCTCAACTGGGGAACTGCCTCCATAGGACTGCCCCCACCCCCACCCCATGGGGCAGCTTCTTGATTATTGAGTGATGTGGGAGGGCCCATATCACTGTGGGCGGTGTTACTCCTGGGCAGGTTGGGCCTGTGTTACATAAGAAAGCAGGCTGAGCAGTGGCCAGGGGAGCAAGCCAGTAAGCAGAGTTCCTCCATGGCCTGAGCTCCAATTCCTGCCTCCAAGTTCCTGTCCTGAGTTCCTACCTTGGGCTCCCTGATAACTGTGACCTGGGAGATGTAACCTGAATAAACCCTTTCCCCCCAAAGTTGGTATCGGTCAGAGTATTTTGCTACAGCAATGGAGAAACAGAGAGAAGGAGGGATAAGGAGGAGGGAAGAGAGAGAAGAGGGGGGAAGGGACATAAGAAGGGGGGGCAGGAGAGACGGGGAGAGAACTACAGCTTCTTCATTCAAAATTTATAACTGGACAACTTGTCATTTGGAATGTTTTAGATGAATTAACAATGTATAGTGCTTCTGCAGAGAACCAGAATTCAGTTCCCAGCACCCACATCAGGAGGCTCACAACACCTTATAGCTCCATAGGATCTAACATCCTCTTCTGGCTACCGTGAGCACCTGAATTTACATGCACATACCCACATGCATTAAAAACAATGCTTGGCATTCAACTGAACCCCTTTACATCAAGAAAACCAGATTCCTGCCATGGCAAATGCATGCCCACAAACATACATGAACACACACACAAAACAAATGTACAGTGCTCTTGCAGAGGACCAGAGTTCAATTCCCAGCACCCATGTGTCAGTTCACAGCTACCTGTGTGTAACTCCAGTTCCAGGGGGTCTGATTCCCTCTTCTGGCTTCCATGGGCATTGTATGACACTGGTGCACTTACATACATGTAAAAAAAACACTCATATACATAAAATAAAAATAAATAAATTAACCGAGCATGGTGGCCCACTTGGGAGGCAGATCTTTTTGAGTTTGAGGTCAGCCTGATCTACATAGTGAGTTCCAGGCCAGCTGAGGCTACAGGGAGATCCTGTCTCAAAAAGACAAAAAAATTAATTAATTAATTTTAAAAAGGTACACTGGGGCTGGAGAGATGGCTCAGAGGTTAAGAACACTGGTTGTTCTTGCAGAACAAATCCCAACACCCACATGGCAGCTAACACCTGTCCGTAACTCCAGTCCCAGGGGATCTAACAGCCTCTTTTGACCTCTGTGGGCATTGCACAACACGGGTGCACTTACCTACATGCAGGCAATACAAGCAAACACATAAAATAAAAATAATTTTTTTTTTAAAGTTTAAAAAAAAAGAAAAGAAAGGTATGTTGACTAAAAGAATATTAAAAGCATGTCAGGGGGCTGGAGAGATGGCTCAGCAGTTACGAGTACTGACTGCTCTTGCAGAGGACCCAGGTTCAATTCCCAGCACCCACATGGCGACTACAAACTGTCCTTAACTCCAGTTCCAGGGGAATCCAACACCCTCTTCTGACCTCCATGGCACTGCACAACATGAGTGCACTCATATACATGCAGGCAATACACTCATACACATAAAATGAAAATATTAAATAACATATATTTAAAAATAAAAGCATGTCAGGCAGGTAAGATGGTAAATTCCACTAGACCAGGCCAAATACCTAGATACCAAGACTTGTCTTACAAAAAGCTCATGAAGACTGAAAGCTTAATATATAAAAATTAAGTCAAAAGAATTCTATGTCACCATCCTACAAACAAAAGAGGGTAGTTTCTAAAAAAAGAATTCAGAAAAACAAGTAGCCATATCTTTCTCTGGAACCTTCTGCACTTCATTTTGAGAACTTCTGTTCCCTATGGCTTACCTGCAGGCACGGTCAGGGGAGTTAAGAATTTCATAGTAGAATACAGAAAAGTTGAGAGCAAGACCTAAGCGAATAGGATGCGTTGGTGGAAGTTCTGTCATTGCAATATCACTAGCAGCTTTGTAAGCCACAAGGCTGTTTTCTGCAGCCTCCTTCCTGTCATTTCCTGTGGCAAACTCAGCCAGATACCTGTGGTAATCCCCTTTCCTACAACAAAACAAAAGCAACAAAACAAGAATCAGAAAAAATACTTCCTAAACATGAACAACTTTTCTTAGCATATAATACATGACAAATACATATTTAACAATGAAGATCTATTTTTAGAAAATTTAAAAACTATTTCAAAATCTATCAGCTTAATTAGTCTCTTCTTTCTTTAAAGCTGTAACAAACATTAGTAAATTACCAGAGGAATTAACTGAAGCAAAAATCACCTGACTAGCATAAAAGTAGTTATAAAAAAAGGAACACATTTATTCATCACAAAACACATTTTTGTTGTTGGAGTGTTAAGGATTAAACCTGGAGCCTTGAGCATGCTGAGCACATATTGCTACTCCTGAGGCATATATACACCCAGTCCTTAAGAATTCTCTACACAAAGTTAAGATTATACTGTGAAACGTATAGCTACAGCTAAGAAGAAAGAAGCCACAAAAGCAAAATGAAGGCACACACCTAGAATCCCAACCTGCTCTATACAGAATTCCAGGCCAAACAGCACTAGACAGATCCTGTTCTCAAAATTTCAAAATCAAAAAAAGAAAAAAGTAAGCAGGCCATGCGCTATGCATGCTTTATACAACAGTCTAAGACTCTTTAACAGGATTAATTCATTAGCAGTGTATCTGAAAATGACTAAAAATTTCATAGTTTGAGTCATTCTTCCTATGTATCTAACCTTCTGATATTAAACCATTATTTTAAGTGGAAAATTCAAAATTAAAAGAAATCATGATTCTAAGGTCAACTTTTAACCTTACATTTTCCCTTCTAGTATAGAACCTACATTTTATAATAGAAAACCTTGGACTCGCCAGTGTTAGCTGCTGGAATGAGGTGTTTGTCCAGTACATCCAGAATGTCACAACAGATTAACTTTAGCTCAGTTTCAACCTAGGAGGGAAAAATAATATTAAGTCTAGACTTGAAGAAAACATGTATCTGTATCCAAATGCCTTCCCTAACCCATTTTAACAGAAATTGTTCAGATTGTGAAACATTATCTTTCCTCCTTAAAACACACACACACACGCCCTTACAGTTCACCTACAGAATTACCAATGAGTAATATCCAAACACTGCTTCTAAATTCTAAGCATGCACATGAAGTAACTTCCTTTATAAGGGAGCAACTATTTCCTTTTCTTTTTCTATTCACCTGGGGAAAATTGAGGGTAAGCTACTACACTTGCCCAAGGCCATCAATTTAGAACAGAAGAGTGAACTATGAGTTCATTCAGTGGTAGGCTGCTTGCCTAGCATGGGAGGTCCTGGGTTCAATCCCAGTACCACATACAAAAAAAATTATTTATTGTGAGGAGGGGTGCTACTGAGATTTAAATCAAGGCAGGTTGCAAGGGACAGAGTCAACTTTCAAAACTCAACCACTCACTTTATTGTAGAGCTCTATAACCAGTTAAAGCAACAAAAAAATCTGTAGGCCAAACTAAATACCGCCACTCATCTCTGCTGGTTCCTAATGTTAAAAGTACACAGCATGTCTGAACAGATGTTCATCTTGTTTAGAGACACTTAAAAGTATTTGTGTGTGTACAGGTGGCATACATGTAGGAAATCAGAGGACATCTTGTAGGAGCCAGTTCTCTCCTCCTAATGTGGGCTCCAGGGATGGAACTTGGACCTGCCACGCTTGCCAGCAAGCACTTTTACCTGCTTGAGCCATCTCATCCTTCTCAGAGATTTTTACAAAATCTTTCCAGTTCAATCTTTTCATTGCAACAAATTCTCCCATTTTTTTCTTTTACAATCTGTCATTATCTCAGTAAAACTAGCTCTCACAAATAAATGCAACAATGGAGCTGGAGAGGTTGGCTCAGGGGTTGAAAGCACTGACTGCTCTTGCAGAGGACCCGGGCTCGATTCTCAGCACCCACATGGCGGCTATGAACTGTCCTTAACTCCAGTTTCAGTGAATCTGAAGCCCTCTTCTGACCTCCGAGGCACTGCATGACACAGGTGCACTCACATGCATGCAGGCAATACACTCATAATAAGTTTTTTTAAAAAAAAGATTTTTAATGTGTATTTTAATGTGTATTTTCAATGAGTGCTTTGCTTGCATGCATGTATGTGCCCAGAGAGACCAAAAGAGAATGTTGGATCCCCTGGAACTGAATTTAGAGATGGTCCTAAGTAGCAATGTGGGTTCTGGGAACCAAACCCAGGCTTCTGCAAGAGCAGCAAGTGCTCTTAACCACTGAACCATCTATACAGTGCCTATAATTTCTAATCTAGGTGAATAAAAGGATAAAAATTCACTACAACAGCCTGGCATTGTGGTGCATGTCTTTAGTCTTAGTACTCAGAGGCACAGTAGAGGCAAAAGGATCTCTGAATTTGAGGCCCACCTGGTAGATACAGAGTTCCAGGCCAGCTAGGGCTACATAATTAATTCCTTATCTTAAAAGAAAGAGCCAGGCATGGTGGTGCACACCTTTGATCCCAGCACTTGGGAGGGAGAGGCAGGTGGATTTCTGTGAGTTTGAGGCCAGCCTGCTCTACATAGGAAGTTCCAGGCCAGAGAGACCCTATCTCAAAAAGACTTAAAAAAAAATTAAGAAAAGCAAACAAACTACATATTAATGTCAATACTTGTATTTGAGAAATAATCACCCTCCTTTAAAAAAAACACAGTATCAGGGCTGGAGAGATGGCTCAGCGGTTAAGAACACTGGTAGTTCTTGCAGAAGACCTAGGTTCTAATCCCAATACCCACATGGCAGCTAACAACTGTCCATAACTCCAGTTCCAGGGATCCAACAGCCTCTTCTGACCTCTGAGGGCATTGCATGACACTAGTGTACTCACCTACATGCAGGCAATACATGCATACACATAAAATAAAAATAAATAAAAATTTAAAAATATGTATTTATTTCCAGGCATTGTGGTGCATGCCTTTAATCCCAGCACTTGGGAGGCAGAGGCAGGCACGTCTGTGTGAGTTCAAGGCCAGCCTGGTCTACATAGTGAGTTCTAGGACAGCTGGGGCTACAGGGAGACCCCGTCTCAAAAAGACCCCAAAAAAAAAAAAAAAAAATCAGCCAGGCATGGTGGCACACACCTTTAATCCCAGCTCTTTGGAGGCAGATGCAGGCAGATCTCTGTGAGTTCAAGGCTAGCCTGGTGTACCTAGTGAGTTCTAGGACAGCTGGGGCTACAGGGAGGCCCTTTCTCAAAAAGACCAAAATAAATTAATAAATAAGAATAAAATAAAAGACAGTATCAAATAAAATGGAAACAATCTCCAATCTCACCATTTGCCGATATTCCCGAATCATTTTCAGTTTGTCTTCTCCTCCCTTGTTTTCTTCTTTCTGTTCAATGCTGCTGATTATTCTCCAGGATGCTCTTCTGGCTCCAATCACATTTTTATATGCAACAGATAAGAGGTTTCGTTCTTCAACTGTCAGCTCCACGTCCATCCCTGCTACTTTCTTCATTGATTCCACCATTTCTATACGGAAAATGCAAAATGAGGCTACAGGTTTAACAAGCTTTGTTAACACATCCATTTCACAATCATCTTTTTTTTTTTTCCTGCAAAGCTAAAAGAAAACAAGAAATAATTTTACAAAAATAAAAAAATAAAGGAAGCTGGGTGTGGTAGTGCAAGCTTTTAAATCCCAGCACTTGGGAGACAGAGGCAGACGGCTCTCTGTGAGTGAGACCAAGGCCAGCCTGGTCTACCTAACAAGTTCCAGGCCATCTGGGGTTACAGAAAGATACTACCTCTTTAAAAAAACAAACAAACAAACAACACCCCCCACACACACAAATCCACTTATGAATTCATTTGCTGGTTCAACCTCTGACAAATAATATTTGTTACCACTAGGTGGCAAGCAAAGAAAGGGGCCCAGATAGTCTTTGATATACCAAGTATAGTAAAGAATAAATAAAACTTGGGTTGGAGAGATGGCTTAGTGGTTAAGAACACTGGCTGTTCTTGCAGAAGACCTGGTTTTGCATCCCAGGACCCACATGGCAGCCAACAACTGTCCATAACTCCAGTTCCAGGGGATCTGACAGCCTCTTCTATCCTCCGCAGGCACTGCATGACAAAGGTACACTTATCTACATACAGGCAATACACACATACACATAAAAATAAAGCATCAGAAAAAATAAATAAAACTCTCTAACAACCAAAAACAGCTCAACAAACACTAACAACAAAGAAAATGCTGGGGGTGGGGCTGGAGAGATGGCTCAGTGGTTAAGAGCACTGGCTGCTCTTGCAAAGGACCCATGTTCAAATCCCAGTACCCTCAACCATCAGTAACTCCAGTTCCAGGGGATTCAACCCCCTCTTCTGTCCTTCATAGGCATTGCAGGACACAAGTACATTTACATACAAGCAAGGCATAATCATACACATAAAATAAAAATTAAAGCCAGGTGTGGTGGTGCACACCTTTAATCCCAGCACTAGGGAGGCAGAGGCAGGCAGATCTCTGTGAGTTCCAGGCCAGCTAGGGATAAAGGGAGACCAAACAAAACATAAATAAAAAATAAAAGAAAGACTCCAGGCATGGTGGTGCACGCCTTTAATGCCAGCACTCAGGAGGCAGAGGCAGGTGGATCTCTATGAGTTCAAGGCCAGCCTGGTCTATATAGTGAGTTCCAGGACAGCTGGGGCTACAGGGAGACCCTGTCTCAAAAAAGACCAAAAAAAAAAAAAGAAAGAAAGAAAAAAAGAAAAAAAAGAAAAAAGAAAGATGATGCTTTTTTTTAAAGGTCTTAATAACATTATTACCAAGTAATGCTCCAGTTTTACTGAGCAGAAGCCCTGGTAATAAGAACCAAGCATCCTTAGCTTAAAGTATCCATTACCAACAGTTATCTCAGACAATGACTTTATGAAGCACTGCTTAATGACATGTTAGTTAAACTGGATGTAATGGTTCAAGTCTGTAACTATAAACCCAACACTAGGGAAGCTAAGGCAGGAGGTAAGCCTGTGCTACCTAACATGGTTAAACGCTTCCTCAAAAAACAACAAAAACTAAAGTGAGTTTTCTAAATATGTACCCTAAGTAATAGGCTTCAAAAAAAAAAAAAAAAAATCACTTTAGGGCAAGATGGCTCAGCAGGTAAAAGAACCTGCCACACAAAATCTAAGGATCTGAGTTCAAGTCCCAGAGTCCCAGAACACATATAAAGGCAAAAGGAGAAAAGTGAGTCCTCAAAATTGTCTTATAATCCCAGCACTTTACTTTGGATGAAGTCTGAGTGAGGAAACTGACCAAAAAATAAAAGGGGGGGGGGGCAACAACTAGCACCCAAACCTGAGCCCAGGAGTCTCAAACCAGGTTAGGCAACATGTTGAGAGTTTGTTTCGAAAAGAAAAGGGACTGAAGAGATGGTACTGGCTGCTCCTGCAAAGGACCCAAGATTGGTTCTTAGCACCCACACTGCAACTGTCTGAAACTACAGTGGGGATTCCGACACTTGCTTGTAGCCCCCTTGGCACTATACACACATGGTGCACTCATATGTGCAAACAAAACACTCATAAAAGTAATGAATTTTTTTTTAAAGAAACGAAAAACCCATGCCCAAACCTGCAGCTAATACATAGTCCCCATGTATCTCATCTTTATACATGACAGTCTGTCAGTATCAAGAGGTTGGACACCCTTGTTTCCTTCTTCACTTTGCTGTGTTTTACAGATTTTCAACAATGAACATTTGGTATTTTTATAATGAAAAGTGGTAAAATATACTTAAACCACTGCTAAGTTTACTAATCCAGAACCAACTACACTAACTGCCTTCATTAAAACATCCAGGAAAGCCACATGTAGTGGTGCATGCCTTTAATCCCAGCACTCAGGAGGCAAAGGCAGGTAGATCTCTGTGAGTTGGAGGCCAGCCTGGTCTACATAGTGAGTTTCAGGACAGCTGGGGCTACAGGGAGACCCTGTCTCAAAAAGACAAAAAAAAAAAAAAAAAAAAAAAAAAAAAAAAACCCACCCAAGAAACAATGCACAAAGAACTAACTGTATGCTCATAGTTCTTTACAGAAGCAGCAGATTATCTTATTAGTCATCCACTGAAATACAGAATTTGGGTCAGTTAAATGGTTTAGTGGGTCACAGAGCACGTGCCACCAAGCCTAATGAACTAAGTTCAACCAGTGGCACCCACACGTTGAAGAGAACAGACTCCTACAAACTGCCCCTTGACTTTCATGCAGGTACTGTGGCACATGTATGCACATGCACAAAAATGAAAACTTTTAAATGTGTACAATCTTGCTGTTTTTAGTATTCAGTGAATCCTGCAATCACCAACACAAGTTTTCAATATTTTTCATGGCTTCAAGAAAAACCCCAAAACCGTTAGCATTACTTCTCCCACTCAATCCTGAAGCCAACCAATCTGCTTTCTTGGGTGCATGTGGAGACCAGAGACCAACATCAAGCGTCCTCAACTGTTATCCCCGTTATTTATTTTCATTTTGTATGTATGTTTTGCCCTACTTGTATGTATATGTACCAATCATGTGCCTGGTGCCTGTGGAAGTCAAAAAAAGGTGTTAAGATTCCCTGTAACTAAATTTACAGATAGTTGTGAGCTACCATGTGGGTGCTGGAACTGAACTCAGGGTTCTCTGCAAGAGCAGCATGTGCTCTTAATCACTGAATCATCTCTCCAGCTCCTCCGTTTGTTTTTTTGTTTTTATGAGACAGAGTCTCTCAATGAACCTGGAGCTCACCAACTGGTTAAGACTAGCTGGCCAGTAATCCATGGGGATCCTATATCCACCTCCCCAGCACTGGGATGCACAGGCTTTTATGATGCAAAGGATCCTAATTCAAGTGCCCTCGTGTTTGCACAGCAAGCACTTTACCAACTGACCCATCTCTCCAGCACCTAACCAATCTACTTTCTACTTGTAGATTTGCTTCTTCTGAATATTTGATATTAATGGAACTGTAATCTTTGGTGACCAATTTCTTACACCTGTCATGTTTTAAAGGTCCATCCACAGAGTATGAATGTTCACCATACTGATTCATACACCAATTACTGGGTCATCTGAGTTGTTTCTGGCAACTACAAAATCACGTTGCCGTGAACATTCATGAACATCCATATGCAGATTTTTGAGTAGCTGTATGCTTTCAAAAGTTTTGTCTTTTGAGGCAAGGTCTCATGTAGCTCAGGCTGGCCTTTAACTACTTGCCCTTTAGTTAAGGATGGCCTTGATCTCCTGATTCTCCAGCTTCTACCTCACAGGTACAGGAATTACTGACATGTCCAGCCACCCTGCCTGGCTAGTATTACAAGGAATGGGGTCTCCCCATAGCCCATGCTGGTCTCAAAACTTTTGGGGATCAATCCTGCCCAAAGTGCTGAAATTGCAAGCATGTACTACCATGCCTGGCTAGTTCGCAAGGATATACACCAAAAGAGAGGAACTTCAGCGTCCTAACAACTTTTTGAAAGGCACCTCATATTGTTTGGATTGTACCTTTTTTTTTGGTCTTTTTGAGACAGGGTCTCTCTGAAGCCCCAGCAGTCCTGGCACTAACTATGTAGACCAGGCTGACCTCAAACTCACAAAGATCCACCTGCCTCTGCCCCCCCAAGTGCTGGGATTAAAGGCCTGCACCACCATGCCCAGCTGTACTGTATCATTTTTATTCTCCTACAAGCTACATAGAAGATTCTATCTCTTCATATCCTCAACATTTACGTCATCCTAAGAGTTGTGAAGCAGTGCTTCCTTGTGTTTGTTACTTGCTTTATGCTTGCAGTGCTAGAGACTTGAGCCTCTTACATGCTAGGTAAACACTCTACCACTAAGCTATTACCAAATTCCCACTGTGTTTTTTTGTTTTATTTTGTTTTATTTTTGAGACTGGGTCTCTCTGTAGCCCCTGCTGGCCTGAACTCGCTATGTAGATCGCCTGGCCTAGAACTCACAGAGATCCACTTGCCTCTGTCTCCTGAGTGCTGGAATTAAAGGCAGGCAGATCTCTGTGAGTTCAAGGCCAGCCTGGTCTACATAGCAAGTTGGAGGCCAGCTGGGGATACAGGGAGACCCAGTCTCAAAAAAACAAACAAAAAAAAGACACCCCACCCCCACCCCCCAAAATTCTGAAACATGAACTCCAGATGACAAAGGGCATATTAAATCAAACTTAGTAGGCCTGTTGTATCCAGGTCATTTTCTAGTCAGCGTGATAATAGCCTAGGTTAGATACCCACTATAATGAAAAAGAGAGCTCTGTGTTGATGCCAGGACAGTCAAGTGTTTCTCACTTTGACTCCAAGTTATCCTCCCCCTCCTGCCACACACACCCCTTTGGTTTGCTGTGTAGGGATAGAACCTAGGCTCAATCTACCACAGAGCTAAATATACCCAAATCTCTGAATCTTGGTTTTATACTTTCTCAAGTATTTGAACAAACTCATTCTCAAATAAAGCACCTTAACACTGGC